TTGTGGATTTATCCCCGGTCTTAATTTTCTTGGTGAATCTAAAGTACTTCGTGAAAAGAAATAAATTCATTCCCAGATTGGCCGCCGGTTCTCAGTAAAGACCCTTTGCACTGCACGCTGAGCCCCCCGGGCCTTGGGACACACAGATCCCGAAGTACGAACACATAAACCATGTGCATGTACTTGGGCGATTATGAGATTTAAGACCAGAACTGACCACCCTCTAGTCTGACCTCCTGCACAAGCCAATACTGGTCTATAAAGTGTTTCATATTTTCCAGAGAGACAAGTCTGTACGTGTGCATGCGTGCCAGCCAGAGAACAGCCTGTGCAATACACACGGGGAAAGGTACAAACAGTGTTTATTAAAACGACTTTTCCCCAAGGGTTGGGGTGTCTGGTTTCATACGAGATTCAATGCAGTGGCTCTGTGAAATGTCACCCCCGTTTTAAAGAAATGGGCGAGCAAAGGTTGCGCTTTATTTGCCAGCAATAACCGAATGTTGTCATGGTCCATCCAACCATCCTGCCCTGAGGACTATCTCCGGGGTGATCTGAACCCTGCCCCCAGGCCAGCCACTGACACTACAAAAAGCAACAGAGGGTCCTGTGGCACCTTTAAGACTAACAGAAGTACTGGGAGCATAAGCTTTCGTGGGTAAGAACCTCACTTGCATCTGAAGAAGTGAGGTTCTTACCCACGAAAGCTTATGCTCCCAGTACTTCTGTTAGTCTTAAAGGTGCCACAGGACCCTCTGTTGCTTTTTGTAGTGTCAGTGGCTGCCCTGGGGTCAGGTATCAGATCACCCCGGAGATAGTCCTCAGGGCAGGATGGTTGGATGGACCATGACAACATTCGGTTATTGCTGGCAAATAAAGCGCAACCTTTGCTCGCCCATTTCTTTAAAAAGGGGGTGACATTTCACAGAGCCACTGCATTGAATCTCGTATGAAACCAGACACCCCAACCCTTGGGGAAAAGTCGTTTTAATAAACACTGTTTGTACCTTTCCCCGTGTGTATTGCACAGGCTGTTCTCTGGCTGGCACGCATGCACACGTACAGACTTGTCTCTCTGGAAAATATGAAACACTTTATAGACCAGTATTGGCTTGTGCAGGAGGTCAGACTAGAGGGTGGTCAGTTCTGGTCTTAAATCTCAGACTCGCCCAAGTACATGCACATGGTTTATGTGTTCGTACTTCGGGATCTGTGTGTCCCAAGGCCCGGGGGGCTCAGCGTGCAGTGCAAAGGGTCTTTACTGAGAACCGGCGGCCAATCTGGGAATGAATTTATTTCTTTTCACGAAGTACTTTAGATTCACCAAGAAAATTAAGACCGGGGATAAATCCACAATGAAGCCCAAAGCTCAGGACACGGACAAGTGTTGGCTGTCTCGGGGATCCCGGGGATTTTTCTGTTATACCGCGGCCTAGCCCGTTTATTCCTAAAAAGTTCAAGCGGCAGCATCCCTCGTGCAGCTAGTCACTGGGACCAGCAATTTCCTGGCGCTGAAATTAACCCCGGTGCCCACGTGATCGCCCCCCCCCCTTAAAACTGACACCAGCGAGAGAAGCTGAAGTGACCCAGGTCTAAAAATAACCTGATTTAGTGAATTAAATCTCCTCTCTCTCCCCCCGCTTAGTTTGCAGCAGCCTTTACCGTTTTAATTGTCAGGCGTGATTTGGAGAGAGATCCAGGGTGGAGGGGGATTCCTGATTGGTTCGGGGGAAGGCTGTGACCAGGAATATTTGACTCAGGCCTAATTATAGGATTGGTAGCAGTGAGGGAGAGAGACGGGAGATGTGTGTAAAGATGGCAAACCCAGGGCTCCCGGGGTCAAACGCAGTTTAGATTTTTTTTTCTTGGGGGGGGGAAGGGGCGACCTGAAGGGCTACAAACAACAATAAAAATGGGGGCTCTGCTCCCGCATGTAAACCCAGGGAGGACACTGCACCCTGAAGACACGTTTTAAGGACGTTTCCTCTCTCTCCTGGACTCACAATGCAACGTAAGGTTCTAGTCACTTAATAGGTGTGTGCGTGAATGTGTGAGTGTGTGTACACACCCTGCAAGGCAGGAAATTAATTTCCACAAGGGTTTATATTAATTTAAGAGATTGTGTTTTGTCTTAGAAAATCAGATTAGACGGCAAGGAGCAGAAGGAAGCAATATTCTTTGGCTAGGAGACGGTGATTTGGGAGTTTTAAGCTTCCCCCCTCATCTCTCCCTCCCAGCCCCAGCTTGGGTCTTGGGGGTTAGACAGTAGCACCTTCTGTCTGACCTGAGCGTCCGCCAGCAGCGTGTGCGGAGGAGCTTAATTGGTGCTGGACAGTGGCTGAGAATATGGGATGCCAACCTTGGAGTCTAACGTTAGCTGGCAAGTTGTTTCTCTCTACTTGCAATGTCTTTGCTGTATTTTTAGGGAGGCGGGTGTCCGATGATCAATAATTGTAGGTTTGTTTCACGACATTTTTGCACATGGCTTGTTTTGCAGGGGGGGGGGGGGGCGATATATTAGACAACACAACGAGCCTGTCAAATTATTGTTGTTACTATGAATATTTCCCTGGGAATTTATTCCAAAAAACACAACACCAACAAAACAAAAACAAAAAAACCCAGGACTTTTTTTGGCCAGTGTAATTTGTACGGGTCGGTTTTGCGGCTGGTGGAAAAGATGTTATTCTCTGGGCAGAAACAGAATCAAAATCTAATGAAGATAAAACTCGGTTTGCTGCTCTTCTGTTGAAATGACCAGGAGAGGACTCGATCTTCAGCCCAGCCGGAGCGTCAGCAATTGATTTCGGTTGCGGTAACATTTGTTTTTTGTTTGTTTTGTTTATTTGTTGACACTCCGCGAGACCGCAAACGCTCACAGCAATGGGGATCGAAACGTGATGAAATCGGGCTCCGGCACCAACGGTTTTGCCTTGAAAAGGTTTCTCTTTTCCGACCGGCATTTGGGATTGTGTTCGGCTCACACAAAACGCAGCTGGGCTGGCTGGTCGCGCGTGTGTCCAGGACCCGGAGAAACCCACCTGCGGCGCGTGTGCCTCCCACTCGCAGATTTGCAATTTAACGGCGTTTCTCTTCTGCAATTCTGCAATCAGCCCGGCTCGGGGGGTTGTTTGTTTGTAAATGATTTTACCGGATCCGGAAGTTATACCTCCAAAATGCGGCTTCTCAAGCAGATCTAAAGCAACTGTTCATTCAAGGACATCACTAGAAATAATCCGGCGCCTCTTTTTCCCTCCTGAAATAGGAAATCAGAATGAATTCCAGCTCAGAGGCATTTGAACCCGTTTCTTTTCTGACACTCTCTCTCCCCCCCCCCCGGTATTTATTGTTAAAAGGCACTTTCAGCGTCTCTGGGTCTTGAATCATAAATCCCAGAATTTTACACACATCCCCCCACACACGCGTTGCATTTGCCATGTTTAAAACCAGCGTGGAATATCACGTGATCTAATGTGTAGGCTTTCCCGTCTCTATTTTTACTCCGGATGACCTGTGATGTGCTGTTGTCAACACCAGGCGATTGCGATTTATCGTTTCAATGTTTGATTGTTTGGTTTTTTGTCCAGCACGAAATTGTTGCTGTAGTTTCTGGGCCCCAGGATGCGAGAGAGACACGGTGGGTGAGGTGAAACCTGTTATTGCACCAGGTCTGAGGACGAGCTCGGTGCACGCTCCAAAGCTCGTTTCTTTCCCAAGCAGAAGTTGGTCCTTGTCTCTCCAGGATCAGGCAGCTGCATTGTGGGCTCTGGACCTGCCATGGCTCGTGCTATGTAGGCGAATCCCAACCTTCACACGCTGTGAAGTGTCTCCCATAGAACCGTGTTGTGCCTGTGTCTGAGAGCTGAGTTCATGCTCGCTAAAGGAGCCCGCTTGGCAAGCCCGAGCCCGAGCAACCGACCCAGGAAACGCGCCCGTGTCTGTGTGTGGACATAGAACGATTAGTCGGAGCTCCTTCCAGCAACTGGAGCTTAATTCATGCGCAGACGTTACCCCCAGATCTGATCCAATCCTGTTCCAACTGACGCCTTCCCAGTGCAAGGGTGGGATCGGGCCCCCAGTTGCTCTAGAACTGAGAAATTAAACCGCATAATTATGTCCTTTATCCCCCTCTCTCCCCTCCCAGAAATCCCTCTCTGTGCCGGCTGCAACCAACACATTGTGGACAGGTTCATCTTGAAGGTGCTGGACAGACACTGGCACAGCAAATGCCTGAAATGCAGCGATTGCCAGACCCAGCTGGCCGAGAAATGCTTCAGCAGAGGGGACAGCGTGTATTGCAAAGAGGACTTCTTCAAGTGAGTAAAACCAAACCAAACCAAGCACCCTTGGAGGAAGGGGTGTGCGTGTGTGGGACGTGGCAGAGATTTTAGGGCCAGGACATTGGGGGGGGGGGCGGCGACTAGTCATCGGCAATGATTAATCGTAGCAGGGCCCCACATGGAGGGTGGATGGAGAAGTGGCGTGAGGGGTTTGTGGGGCATGGGGGGGGGGGGTTATTGTTTTTGCCCTCCTAGGGGATGCTTAGAACTCCTCTGATCTGAACAGGGCTCCAGCCCGTCCACACATCCCACCGACTAGCGCTGGAAGCAGGCTTTCGCCCCTTAGAATAGATGGCTTCCTGGGAGATCATTGTTGCACCTGATAACTACAGTACCTGCGTGCAGAAAAGGACCGGGCGAATAAAGAGGAAATCAGAGGCTGTTTAAAAAAAAAAGTTCAGTAAAGGAGGGGGGGGGGAAGAGACAGATTTGCCTTTCTGTCCCTCACGCCCGCAAATGGATTTCAGTAAAGTTGATTAAGTAACAGGGGAAATCTGCATCTCAGCCTGACTTGCTTTGCAGCCTTCTCCTGGCGGGGGCTCCGAGCAAACAGGCCCCTGCACAACCCCGGGCCTGGCGCTGCCCTCCTTGAGCTCAAAGCGGAGTTTTGCTGGGCCAAGAACCTCAACGATCCGAAGCGAGACACTCCCCTGATATTGACACGCGCGGGCTCCGAATATCCTCCGCAGCAAAGCTTAAATCATTCCCCGCAAGACAGGGGTCAGGCTCCAGATAGCCCGGGGAGAAACACGCACCAATAGAAGGCTAAGTCCTAACCTTGGATTTTTACATTTTAACTCAATCGATGATTTTATGTATTTGGTAGCAGCAAAGCCAACCCCCCACACCCGTCACTCTTTTCCCGGTTTTATCTCAGTTGCAATAAGTAAAACTGGATTTGCAAATGTAAGAGTCACGCGCCATTCCCGAGGTCAGAGCTCATCCAGCATTTGGGACCCCCCCTGTGTTTTTTTCCCCCTCCAGATTTGGCATCCACAGCAAAAAGGAAGTGAGCCTTTTCCTTTGTGACCCGCACTAGCACTAGAAACCATCCTCAATAAAGTCAAATACGGAATGAGAGTCGATTCTGGGGACCCCCCCCCCGTTCGATACAGAATTGAACTCCCTGCCTGCTGGGATCCCCCCCCCCCAGGCGTTCAGACCCGCTTCCACGCCCGTTCTACCCAGCCAGCGTGTCCCCCGGGGACCAGGCGCGCCGCGTGTCCGGGCTTGGAACGCGTGGGGGGCGGTGCAGCTCCCGGGGCCCTTCCCTGGGCCCATATCTTTGTCTTGCTAAAACGCCAATGATCCAGGCCCCGGTTTGAACTTAAACCTGCCGGGCTTCCCCCCTCCCCTTCTGAGCTAAGAGCCCCCCCGGCCCCAGCATATCCCTTGCCGTGTGAGCCCCTCGCTCGCCTCTCACACCGCAAAAGCGCCACTGGAGCCCAGGCGAGGCGAGGCCATAAAGGTGCCACTCCTTGGAAGGCAGCTACCCCCCGCCCCAGCTGCCAGGCAGACCCCTCTCAGCTGCGGGCAGCAGCCGGGCAGGCTCTGGGTTCAGGGATCTCCCTTGCTCCAAGCAGATGCCCCGCTTCAAGCCCTCAATGCCCATCACCTGCTCAGGCAGAGCGTCCTTCCCAGGCAGCCACTGGGATTCCGGTGAGCCGGCCAGCCCCGCGGCAGGGCAGGAGTCCACTGTGACGCGATCCCGGATTCACTCCGAAAGAAAGTGAACACGGTAGGAGCCGAGCAAGTCCGACCCGTCCCGTGACACAGAACCAGCAGCAGCTTCTGCCCCGGCCCGAGGGAATCTCTCTTTGCAGTTCGATCAATAGCGACTTTCTGTTGGATTTTTTTTTAAATAGGAGGTTTGGGACAAAATGTGCAGCCTGTCAGCAGGGGATCCCCCCGACCCAGGTGGTGAGAAGGGCCCAAGATTTTGTCTACCACCTGCACTGCTTCTCTTGCATCGTGTGTAAAAGGCAGCTGGCCACGGGGGACGAGTTCTACCTCATGGAGGACAGCCGGCTGGTCTGTAAAGGAGACTATGAGACCGCCAAGCAGAGAGGTAACTGGGCAAGTCAGCCTGGGATCGTCCTAGCTAGCACAGTGCTCCGGGGAATCTAGAAAGACGGGAGGTTGTTCTTGGCCTCCCACCCACCCCAATTCCTTCCCATACAAGCTGGTAGATCAAGCAAGATTCAGTAACAGAGATGAGGGGAACTCGATAAAACGGAGTGATCTGCAGCTTAGCGTGTCTCCTTCAAACCAGGGACTCAAGAAGACAAGGGGTTACACCCTTGCACTGCTCGGAGAGATTTATTTTATTTTCCAAAATATAAAATCAGGGAGAGAACTAAGAACATAAGAATGGCCACACTGGGTTAGACCAAAGACCCATCTAGGCCAGTATCCTGTCTTCCGACAGTGGCCAATGCCAGGTGCCCCAGAGGAAATGAACCGAACCAGTGATCCATCCCCAGGCCCATTCCCAGCTTCTGGCAAACAGAGGCTAGGGACACCATCCCTGCCCATCCTGGCTAATAGCCATTGATGCACCTATCCTCCATGAATTTATCTAGTTCTTTTATTAACCCTGTTATAATCCTGGCCTTCACAACATCCTCTGGCAAGGAGTTCCACAGGTTGACCCGTGGGTTGTGTGAAAAAAATACTTCCTTTGGGTTGTTTTAAACCTGCTAATTTCATTTGGTGCCCCCCTAGTTCTTGTGTTATGAGAACTAGGGAGTCACCAAACTAGGGGTCACTATTAGCCAATTATTAATTACTTTCATCCGTCTCCTACCTTATAGCAAGTAAACCCTACTTGAGAATGCCCAGCACCGAAATAAATGAAAACACGTATTTCAGCTTGAAAAGGGTCTGTATGTTTGTATCTGGGTTTAGGATAGGTTTTTTTGGGGGGGGGCATCCTGAGGCAAAACGTCTATTGACTTTATTGAGTTTTGCTTGAGTCAGCACTGCAGGCTGGTGCTTTGACATGGAAGCTTGTGTTGCCATTGACTCCAACAGGGGCAGCAAGCAGATTGAGAAATTGTTCTGCCAGGGGTCTCCTCCCGAGCTGGGAGCTCCCGGGGTCTCTAAGGACCACGCGCGAAAGCGATATTTTGATTTTGAAATTCTTACTAAGCACCAGCCTATTCCAAACAAATGATCTTGTAAAGTCAGGTGAATTCATAGGATAATCATAGAAAACGCCTAAAATCTTCCCAACTTAGTAATGTTCCAGATTTCCAACGGGAAGGAAATAGCCAGATATTTCAACCTTCACTGGTTTAAAGAAAGCATTTTCCATTTTCTGTGCAAGTGGTAATGTAAATCAGACAGCTCTCTATTGTGGTAACTATCCGTCTATATATCCTTCCATGCATCCACAATTCAAACCCCATTCGAATTCAGACATTTCTAAGTATTAGCTATTTATAGAGCGCCTATCATTGCTGAAAGAACACACAGTGGGGACTTTTTACACACACACACACACACACACACACACACACACACACACACACACACACACACACACACTA